TTTTTGTTAGTTTATAAAACAACACATAACGCTTATGGACACACAGTTATCAACTAACTAAACTGATAGTAAGATTAAGAAAACAACATCACAAGGTCTACACAATTACTCACATTCCCAACTTGCAAAGCCTCTGTTTTGAAGATTACCATAAACTATCAGTGAATGAAATCAGACTCTCAAGTTATATATGGATACACCTGAAAGTAAACAATGGTTACCATACTAAGAAATCTAAAATAGTGACGTCTATATATCTTATAAAACCAGAAGAGTTGTATGTAAAGCATTCTCAACTTCTCCAATGAAAACAGGCAATCCAAAGTCAGTAGCTTTGAGCATAGGTTTCTCATCTTTACTAAAGAGCTATCTTAACATATATATATATATATATATATATATATATATATATATATATATATACAAAGTCAGGCTTGATCACAAGACGGATCGAGACAAATGCTACATTATCTGAATCTTTTTCTTCACATCGTCTCTTTCTTGCTCTCTTGTTAGCTTCTTATGAAGCATCGATTTGCAGGTGTATACGTGTTTCCCGTTGCAAGTGTATGTTATACCAAATTGACCTAGACCTAATTCGTGACCTAAGATTACCCTTTCCACAGTTTTGAGTTTTCTCTCATCAACCTTTCTAATTGTGTTAAACTGAATCAAGAATCAAGAGATCTTATTAGCAAAGAAGAGACTGAGAGGTCCATTTCGTTGAAACTGAATTGATTTGATGTACACTTTCTGACCACATCTCTAAGATTTAAGGCTTGCATGCATCTTGCTGGTTCATAAGGGTGACGTTGAGAGTTGTGAGTTTAAGATGATGAAGATATCGCATCAAGGGAGAAAAATAAGAATCATGTCAATCTTGCACGTAGACCAAGAAACACCCATCAGGCCATCATCATTCATCATTATCTTCAAGGTATCAAGTACATAAATGTCTCCTCTTTTAGAGTAGCATTTTTACAGCAAGCTTGTCTTTAAGGTCCAAGTCTATGATGAAAAATGGAAGTTAGGAGAATGCGGGATGTTGTTTGCATTAAGAACTAAAGTACCTTTTTTTTTTGGGCAACTTAAGTACCATAACTTGTTTTGATGATGATGACCAAATCCAAATGTTCATTTTTATTCTGTATGAGTAGGAGAAAGATTGGTATGAGTAGGTGGAGAAGAAAGAATTTTAAAACTTCTAGAGAAAGATTGATTGATCTCTCTGCTGTGAAATTTTTCAACTGCTTCCTTGAAATTGCTTATGCTCTTCCTTGAATTTTCCTTTTTAGTATAGGATATAGCCAAAACAGATTGTTGACATTTAAACTTCAACTTTAGGCACATTATTTTTCGTCGGTGACATATTTTTTCCACAAGTCTTTGTGTGTCGCCAGAGTCAACGTTTCGTGACATATACACGATTTTCCAAAAGTCTTTTTGGTTCATTATCGCTCTCTACATATCTTATCATCTTCTTGGTGCCTCTCTCTACCACACAGATTGATTATCCCTTCTTAACATTTCTCTAATGCTTCTTCATATTGTTTAAGAAGTTTAGCTTCCATCAAGAAAACCAAGAAACTTATTTTCGTTTTTTATATCTACTTCAGTAAAAAAAAAAAAAGCTTTTAAAAAAAATGAAATTTCAATCGTTTTTGAAAGATATGAAGAAACAGAGAATGATGGTAGAAAAGAGAAAGAAGAGGAAAGGAGATGAACTTCTGAATCCAGCAAGAAAGAAGATCAGAGTGCAAAACCAGAGCCAAATCCAAGTGCCATCATCACCTCCAACCTCTCTGCCTCCTTCTTCACCTCCGTCTCCTTTATCACATCCGTCATCTTTGTCTCTTTCATCAGCTCTGTTGGGGTCAAAATCGGTACGATGGAATTGATAGCCAAAACTCCCCGCGAAAATACAAAAAGAACAGTTTTATAAAACCCGAGGAATAGTTTTATAAAACTGTTGAAATCGTTTTATAAAACTCGAGAAACTGTTTTATAAAACTCGAGAATCGTTTTATAAAACTCGAGAATCGTTTTATAAAACTCGAGAAATCGTTTTATAGAGCTCGAGAAATCGTTTTATAAAGCTCGAGAATCGTTTTATGAAACTCGAGAAATCCTTTTATAAAACTCGAGAAATCCTTTTATAAAACTCGAGAAATCGTTTTATAAAACTCGAGAAATCGTTTTATAAAACTCGAGAAACCGTTTTATAAAACTCGAGAATCGTTTTATAGAACTCGAGGATCGTTTTATAAAACTCGAGAAGCGTTTTATAAAACTCGAGAAACCGCTTTATAAAACTCGAGAAACCGTTTTATAAAACTCGAGAATCGTTTTATAAAACTCGAGAATCGTTTTATAAAACTCAAGAAACCGTTTTATAAAACTCGAGAAACCGTTTTATAAAACTCGAGAAATCGCTTTATAAAACTCGAGAAACTGTTTTATAAAACTCGAGAATCGTTTTATAAAACTCGAGAATCGTTTTATAAAACTCGAGAAATCGCTTTATAAAACTCGAGAAACCATTTTATAAAACTCGAGAAATCGCTTTATAAAACTCGAGAAACTGTTTTATAAAACTCGAGAATCGTTTTATAAAACTCGAGAATCGTTTTATAAAACTCGAGAAATCGTTTTATAAAACTCGAGAAATCGCTTTATAAAACTAGAGAAACTGTTTTATAAAACTCGAGAATCGTTTTATAAAACTCGAGAATCGTTTTATAAAACTCGAGAATTCGTTTTATAAAACTCGAGAAACCGTTTTATAAAACTCGAAGATCGTTTTTATAGTGTTATGAAATCCGAAGATCGTTTTATAAAACTCGAGAATCGTTTTACAAAACCGCAAAAAACCGAAAAAGCCGTAAGACGCGAACTAGTCGCAACTAGTTCGCCCATCGGCGAACTAAGAAACACCCACTAGTTCGCCCATCGGCGAACTAAGCCGGGCCCGGCTTAGTTCGCTGATGGGCGAACTAAGAGTCACTCTTTAGTTCGCCGATGGGCGAACTAGAGACTTCTCGGACACTCCGCGTCTCGATTTCCCGCATTCCCGATTCGAAACTTACGTCTTTCGACAAGGTCGTGTTCTAAACCACGGCCGAAATATCTCTCGTTCCATCTCGATCCGACTTACCGTTCGAGTTTTACGATAAAAACCGTAAAACTTCGTTTTCTCGGAAAGAACTCGAGGAAATCGTATAAAACGGCAACGGTTAAACGAAACACCGAACATTGCCTAAACTATACGATTTATTCGAGATTTCTCGTCGAAATCATAAAAAACGCTTTTAATAAAAAACGCCGAGTAAGTCATAAAAAACGTGTTTTTAATAAAAAGTCGAGTCAATCGTAAAACTTTGCGATTAACTCGAGAAATTTATTAAAAACGACGTCAGATCAGGAAACGATCCCGTAAAAAGTCGGAAAACGGTTTTTATCGCAAAACGGCCCGGAAGGACCTAAAACGCGATAAAAACCCATCTCGCGATTTTAACGGAATCTAACCCGCAGATTTGATAACGTTTTGACGGTTTACTCGCAGAA